AGCTTTCATGGCTTCATGAGTATGACTATCGTCGCAAATTTATTACATTCCACTCCCCACATTATCTTTGCATGAGGTTGTAGGTATTGGTCATTATCAACGTAATTGTTGAAAGAGAGTACAACAGCCCGAAAGTTCATTACTATCGTGTATTTTGTTTTTTAAGTTTGGCCCAAGCCTAATTTAATTGGGCTTGTGTTTTTGTGTGCGTGCTGGTGGGCAGGCACATGAGATACTTCATGTTTTAAACTTTTTTGTAGGTTTTGCTTGCCCTCCAGAATTCTCTATTTTAAATTTAGGTTTGTTATGGAGTTTTCGAAATAAACTATCTATCTATCTATCTATCTTTTCGCATCCGCTCAGACACATTTCTCACTCAGACCAATGACATTAAACAACATGATGCGCAACTCCGCCATTTTTGGCCGAAGATCGTATCCGATAGCACGCTCCAATGCACATACTTGACGAGACGAAAACGAGCGGATGTGTGCTGCTTTCAAGGAATAGCACGAATGGTGTTCGTGCCTGCTTTGACAGTTGTTGTCGATTTTAATGATATTTTGTAAAGTTGAGGTAGAAAGAAATTGGAAAAAGGTAAGGTAAATACTATTGTTGTATGTCACCCCCGGACATCGCACTGTTAAGTACATGTGGGAAAGCCAGCTTTTGTCAAATACTACGAAGTTATTAATTCAGTACGGTACGTAGTTGTCCATTTGCCGAAATTGCATATTTACTTACCCCTTATGGTTTCAAATAGTTCATGCACCTCCATTTAGATTTTTTATTCAGTGAGGATATATACTCATTGCTGTAACATACTATTGCTCATTAACGCAATAGTAATTTATAGCAATTTATTTGCGTATTGAATCAAAGGGTTAACAAGTTCACCTAACATTTTACTCATACCGGTCTATATTGTATAGTCTGATCTCTCAAGTATTTCAAGTATAAGAATGCTTGTAATTTTCTGACTAAACCTTTTCATTAGTTGGTTTATATACCAAATTCAGTAAAACATATTTTACATAGACATGAGATATTAGATTTATTAGCTTTTCCATTCTAAATCATATAGACTGCTTTATTTATTCTTAACGAAAATTAATAAATCTCCTCTCTTTCTTCAGATGGGAAAGTTGTGGAAAAACCTGTCTAAGCATTGTGAGACTCCTGCAGAACAAGCGGCAATAGCAAAATAAGTAAGTATATCAATCAAGAAATTAAGCCGACATAAAGCAAAACTTTCAACTATTCGTCTAACCTCAATTTCCTATTATTTATTCACAGGACAACTGTAGCAGAAGGGGAGATATCGGAGGTCTGGCGACATATCAGTGACAGTGTGATTCCAAAAATATAATTAGAGTACTCCATAATGTTGCTAGAATGAAGAACAACCTATGGAGGCATGCAAAGACATTTGACCCTCCGGTAGAGTTGTGTATGGCCCCCACATCCTGCAGGGCTTGCGGAAAATAACTAAATTCCAAGCGTGAGATTGCATAAGCGGTCTTATTTGTAAAAAGGCACAAAACACGCCAGACATATTTAAAACAGCTTTGGAAAATGAGAATTACGGGTCACTCACTACACCTGTGTTATATTGGTTCATCAACTTTTGGTAGTAATATAGATATTGATATAGATTCATGATAAAATACTGTATTATATTTTGGACAATTTCATCTAGACCAGTGATGTCAAACTCGCGGCCCCAGAGAACTTCCAGTGCGGCCTTCGAACGCCTAACAATAATTGTTATGGTATTTTGGAAGTTTTTTTTTATCTAAATGTAATAGATTTTTCAAACCTTTCAAAGTGAAATTGATTATTCACACAGAAAACAATTTACTGAAAGTAGTTTTGGAAAATTAATTTTATTTTTGTTCACATTTTGACCCAATTAAGAATAAAAGAATACTTGAATAAAACACTTGAGTGATTAAATTAACGCAAAGTACATGAAGAAGGTGGCATTTTCAAAGAAAATGGGAGTTGCAATATTTCTGCATTTCACAAAATTCTGAAGCACATTGTTTAATTTGTCATATTTCCATCAGTACAATGAAAAAACACAATAAGCTCAGCAGTCAATATGACAAATTCGAAGACCAACTCGAACAGAAAATTTCCATGTGTTTGTATATTAATATAATTATACAACGACTTAGTTACTAAAAATCAATATCAATAATAATTCAAGCAATCCTATGCCACGCAATGTGGCGCGAAATGTCTTGTCGAAAAAATCTGTCATTTGTTTTTTTACTGATCTATACATGAAATGATAAAAGTAACTTTTTTGCATTACTGGAATTAATTAAACATTCGCAAAGATCCAGATTAACCCATGATCATGTGACCTCGTTAGTTAGAGTTGGTACTATAAAATCATTTCAGCCTGGCCTTAGTATGCTGGTGACACATAAAAGATGCCAAACGTCAGGACAAATGTAATTAAAAAAACATTGAGTTTATACTGTAGTTTTTGTTAATTTTAGGTTCATATATTTAGATTAAGTGTTTATTATTCTTTCCTTATCCAAAGCTTGTTCAAAAATGATTTTGATGGTTGTACATAGAATTTTATGATTTTTTGTAATAAATACAATAACTTGCAATAATAGTGGAATGCAAATATTAATATGTATTTGCATCTGAAATTGAAGAAAATAATAAAACTTAATCCAACTGTTTAGTTGCAATATATGTCACAAACTAAAACTATCTTTCAAGTATACATTATCAAAAACTGTTTGCGGCCCTTTTTACAATTTCCAAAATGCAATGCGGTTCTCGAAAACCCATGAGTTTGACACCACTGATCTAGTCTAGACGATTCAAGCATTGATTTGGGAAATAATATCACTTCAATCAAATTGAAAAATATCTCGCGATATTGAATACAAAATCGTTGCTATCATAAAGATAAACCAATTCAGCCACTCGAAATATATTGGCCTTCACAAAGCAAGGGAGGCAAAATTGAGAGTTCATGAGCTATAAACTTTTGTTCTTTTCTTTGTCTTGAACTCTTCATACTCCACAGCTCCTATTATTTTTTTTTTAATTTTAATTACCATGTGATGGTCATATATATTTTTAACTTGTATTTTCTGTCATGGTGTATTATCTCAATGTGTCAAACATTTAATTAGTGTGCATATTTTGCTTCCAGATGACATAAATGTTTTGTCTTGTTTATTACCTCAGCTTGGAGTATTGACAAAAAAAAGGTGCCAGTAAATTATGTAAAATTTTTTTTAACTCTTTGTTATAATCAGAATTCACAATTAATAGGAATTATAAACAGCTAACAATCAATGAGAATTATATGCGAAATCCCTCAGAATAAATTTGTCTTCTAAAATCGGAGGAAGGCAAAACATATAGGTAGTTCCCATTCACACAAGTTTTTCAAGAAGACTTTCTCGAGCCAAACTAAATGAGCATCGTCAGGTGATCGGTAAGGCTGCAAGTTGAATTCAGCCCTGCAACCTCCTGCATAGAAGATAATATTAATTAGTGGGCTATGAGCTGAATTCCCAAATTTAGACACAAACCTATGTACGAGGCATTATGTACCAGCAATGTTACCTACGATTAACTGAATATGTAATATGTCTAATAAATTCACCTCCTAAAGCAAGTCCGATAGGTGTGAACTTTGTGTTATGGAATCGTACCACAGCACTGTTAATAGAAGTGAAAGCAGTTTTTCTGTTTTGTATGACACACTCTTTAAATGAAATTTCAATGTTTAAGCGCAAACATTAAAATTACTAACTTTAAACTTTGTCATTATCTGCAAAATGTTCCACACAAATCTTTACGCTATCGCGTTTGTAATCTTCTCTGATAAAAAAACGTCTATGATGTCCAGAATTAGTCTTCACAGCTTGTCTGCCATTCCAGCTTTCCAAGTGAGCAAAACTTCTTAGATATAGAGATTATTTTCTTTTGTTACAAGCGCAAAAAGGCAGGTACTACACGTAAAGAAGACGCCGAGTAGCAAAAGCGAGCAGAAAACGGTCGCGAAAGGCGACGAGAAATATGTGCATTGGAGCGTATCATGAAATACAATCTTTCGCCCTGTAGTCTTATGGAGTGACGTCAGAGTTGCCTATCATGTTGTTTAATGTCATTGCTCAGACAGACTTTCAGGCGTGGTCGTGAACATTACCTCATTTTCGCGATTTTATATTATATTGTTGGTTTTTAGTTGTTTTTCGGAAATTTAAATAAAATAAGTCAATAATCACCTTGTCCTTCTAGGAATTTCAGTTTGAGTAATCAAAAATTAGTGTAGAAATAGGTGTGATAGACAGGCTAAAATTCTTCACCGGTACTTTTAAAAAACAGATTGTTGAATGGTATGAAATATAATGATAGTTTGAAACAAATACTTCATTTTATAAAAAACAACTCGCAAAACCGCTCTTAAAATAAACACCGAAAATTTTAGAATGGTAAATTATGGGAAAAATTTTTCGGGGTCAAAGGTCGGGGAAAGATCCATTCAGTGAAGCGCCCCGGCCAGATTACTACAGATTTCCCGACCACTGGGATACGCAAATTACCGCACCTTACTGCGAAGACGAGTCCAGCAATTCTTTCGCATGTGACATCGCCCACGTGATTCAAACCTACGAAAGCACGCAGAGTACAGTAATCAAGTGCACGATGCGCCGACCAAAAACAGGTTTCGCGATATCGCCCCCTACGACTTACAATACATTCGCCCACCGGGGGACAATATCGCCCACTTTGGGAATCACTGATCTAGGAGAATTACTGGACGGGCATTGTGACAAGACTAGGGGATTCTGGAACATATTTCGTGACATCACAAAGCGATAGAGTCGCGAAGCAATAGAGAAAAGCTTTTCGTCCAAGAAAGAAGGGTGATGAGCATCGTGGATTTCAACCTGTGCTGCATGTGAGCAGTCATTCCAGACCCGCAGCGACAACATGCAGCATCAGAAGTCACATTAAATGTATATTAACATTGTATTTGTTGACTTTAAAGTAAAAATTTCAGGCTTGATTAAATGAAGAAACGCTATATGGCTCGCACAGAAATGCAGTTGAAAATATGTACCTTTTATGGCTGACCAAAAAAGGTTCCCGACCCCTGACGTAAATATCAAAATTATTGAAAGTGAAAAATTAAACATGCAGTGGTTGAAGCTCAATATACAGCACATACTGATCATGAAAACAGTGCAATAAGAAAATGAAAATATTCAATTAAATGACTAGAACTGACATGGGCAAACTAAGGCTCACGGGCCAAATCCGGCCTGTTGGGTAATTGAATCTGGTCCACCCAATGCTGTCACAACTACACTAAAACTAAATTTTGATGTTTCAGCTGAAAAGTAGCTCAGAAAATGTGTTGAGATTGCGTTTAAATTAAGGCTTATTGTTTTCCACTTTTGCCTTTTTAACACTGTAACTAATGTTCATAAAATTAAACTTTTTACGTCACACACTTACATGGCCACCAGTCTAAGTGGGTAAAATTTTTGGCCCCAGGTTCGAAAACCTTGCCCACCGCTGAACTAGAATCATCATTGGGGTGGATAAGGAAAAGGTAAACACTAGGAATATGCAAGAAATGTGTGCGACATCAAAATGTGAGCATTGAATAGGCAGAGTAACATATTGTACAAATCCTATTACTTGGGGGTTTGGGTTATACTTGAGTTCTAATTCAGGACATGGTTGTTAACATAATATCAGCAAGTGAACTCTGAGATCATTAGTTCAAGACCAGGTTGATCCGACTCATTATTTTACTTAGTTTAATATATTAAGTAAACAGGTACAAATCCTAGGAAGAGTGGATCCATACGCTTGAATGGATACCTCCTTTAGCTTTAAAAGGGAATGAACTTTTAATTCTGTTGACAGGGAATATGATGAAAAAATATTTCTAATCAAAATGAAATGCTTGAAGAGAGATTTAGTTGGGAACATTGTATAAATTACACACTAGAGTCCTGATATGTTCAGGTGTCTGATCTTTAAGCATTGTGGCAGATTCATATGTATAAATGGATGCTTGCTTGAGCCTTGTATGGAGAGGAAACAATTAATACTATGAAACTAATTTTGTTGATAAAAATTAACCAGTTGAAGTTGAATAAAATTAAAGCTTGAATGACTTATTCCCAGCGACGAGGATTATTCGATTCATTGTTTGTGGATTCTAGTCGACAATGAATTAAACCCCGGTATCAGCGATCAATGCTTTGAATCTTTCCAACTGATCACTGTTGAAGAAGCAATAATTCATCTCCAATGTTTCAACCAGACATTGATGAACAATTTCACTGATTGTAGTTAATCCTTCATCTCCGAAATCGCTGACTTGGTTCCGACTTAGATCCAGGAGCTTTATCTGAAAATATTAAGTTTTTCATTTTAAAATCACAAATAGCAACGCAAGTTTATAAAGCTCTCCTAGATCAGTGGTTCCCGACCGCCGGTCCGCAGGAAATTTCATTCTCTTGTTTATCTACCGTATCAATCGCTTTACCGAAGCCGAAAATACGAAGTTACGTTTATAACGCAATTTCTCTTCCGCCATCATATTGCTGTTTGATAGGTGCGGTATGGCCCCGCGACATCTTGGCGCCGAGTAATCACACTTTTGACTATTTCGAATCCGATTCATCGCGAAGGCGCTCCGTCAAATCTCGCAAGATTCAGAAAACCACAAATCAGCATGCCTGTTTTTCTTGATTAATAAGTCGAAGTTATGAATCTCTCTTCCGCCGTCATATTGGTGTTTGATAGGTGCGTAATTGATGGCCCGGCGACGTCTTGGCGCCGAGTAATCACACTTTTACTTTTTCAGTTCCGATTCATAGCGAAAGTTCTCCATCAAATCTCGCAAGATTCACAAACCTGAAAATCAGCATGCATGCTTTTTGCTTTTTGCATTGATATTACCATCCATATAAAAGGTTATGAGTATTTCTTTCTTTGTTTAAACCAGAAAACTGTCAGGACCAGTATAATATACCAGAGCCATAACACCCAGCGAGATATGAATTTATTGCGACCTTGCAGGTGGTCACGAGACATACAACAAAAGCATGGGCCGTTGAGATCTTTTTCGGGTGATGCACAGCAGGATTTTGACCCTGGTGCCAAGTTAGCAACGACTTTATCATTGCAATATAAATTAATTTTGTTTGGGGCGTCGATCAACTGCAGACGGATTGATATGACGAACCCGATGAAACCTTAACTTTACAGTCCAGATTTATAAAAAATCATTGTCACAATTCATTCTTGAGCTCTCTTGATAACGAATACCCATCGCTAAGTAATCAAGCAACAAACAGTTGTCCGAATTTTTAATCAGTTACTTATAGCTTTAATTAAAACGAAGCAAATAAATTGACTGTGAGCTGCTGAAGAGCTTTGTGTTGCGAAAGCTTTTTTGATGCCTCGCTTGCAATCCTGTATTGGAAACAAAACAGCAAAATTCTCACTGGAGTTAATTGTGTATGTACATGTTTTGGCATGTACATGTTTTTTATGTGAGGTGTGGGCCTTTTTTAATCATAGTGGGTGCCCACTGCATGTTATTACGCAAATATATGGTATTATTTTATGTTCCAACCATTCCAATTTTTGGCCGGCCACTATTTGATAGTTTTTCCACATGTGAAATGTTTTTAAGTGTACCTTTTTTTCTCGAAGCGTAGTGATTGCCCAACATTACAAATATATAGCAAATATATGTTATTATTTTCTGTTCCATTCATTTAAATTTTTGCCGGTCCGCGAGTACATTTTATTTAATTTTACCGGTCCGCCAGGTTAGAAAGGTTGGGAACCAGTGTCCTAGATGATAGATAAAAGCCTCAACCGCCAGGTCTGCGTCAACCATCCTGCCGGTTCGCCAGCTATAATCCAATGTTATATCTTAATAGCAAAATGCAAGGCATTGATGTTCATTTATTTTGTGAGTTTAACTCCTATTAATGCGTAAACCAAACTCGTTCAGATGTCATATGCTCATTTCAAGCCCTGAATGCTGAATGTTTTGTTTAGTGTATGACGTCATGAAGATGTTCACTTATCCTGTTAAAAAAATACATTGAATGGCTTGTGCAGGATTTTGTGTCTCTGTAGCATTATATTTGGTTTAAAAATCCACTAATATTTGATTGCTTTTTTCTTAATATAAAATTTTGGTAGCGGAAGTAGCCAAGTTAGTTTGGCTGATGAATAGCTTTTATTTGATACTGAAAAAATGGACAATATTGTAGATAGATCTCTAGTAGGTACCAATACACTGATCTCCCAAATCCAAGTCGAGTCTTGAATGGAATATTCGTGTAGGGCACAGCTTTTTTTTTTTCAAATTCAACTGATGGACTCGTGCATACTACAATCGCTGGATCTACAGAGCCTTGTTCTGAGCAAACAGATTGAGATTTGAAAATGTATATCCCCCCAATTCCAGTTCTTTCATGGATTTTACAATTTTAATTATGCTTGACATTGCAAAACATCCAACTTCAGCTAAACCAGCAGTGCCAAGATATTTGTTGCCACTGACGACCAGCTCATTCAACTGCAATGAATGAAAACTTCAAGATTATTTAACATATTGGAAATGCGAACACAACAATTGTAATCTCTAGCAAAAGCAAAAACCAAAAAAATTTGAAAAAAAGGTCAATATATCAGACAATATATAAAAAGTAAGGCTTATCCCTGGGGTTCAAAATATGGGGAAGAGCAGGGATCAGTGATATTTTTTATGATTATTCTGTGTACCAGGGTGGCGATGGAAATAAAAGTGAACTTCGTCACGTTGCGAAATGGTTTTGAAATTGGTAGAAACCTTAACGGATAATTGTTACTATAAGCATTTTGGCAACCTTCTTAAGAGCGTTCCTTCGAAAGATAAACCATTGAAGAGTTCGGTAAAATATCCGCAGTGACTCGATATGATAACATGGCAGTAACTCTTTTATTGTCGCATATTGGAGTGGAACCCGTCGGCATCATCAGAAGATGGCAAATAAAATAAATACTTGGATAGTTGGATATACCAATGCCTGCAATTATTAAGGAAATTTTTTTTGTTTGCTTTAATTAAAAATGTTCAATAAACGGAAGTAAAATTTTAATAATGAGAATTTTAGCCAAACTTCATCGTGTGTTGGGTTTTGCGGGGTTGTCATAAAGATCCATTGGTTGCCAAACCGCAGCCTGCGGGCCAATTACAGCCCACGTAAAAATAATATGGCCCGCCGAACTTGATTGTAATGTTCAACACTATGTTTGTTTGTTTTTCGTTCTAGATCAATTGTTACGTCATTTTTACATTTTAAGCACGAGTATATCATAACAGTTCAATTCTACTGGTACAGACTCTTTGCGAGCACTCCCCTGCCCCGCCCCCAAATATCTTTCCGCTCCTACTTTTGCTTCTCTTTTATAGAATAAATTCATTAAAATATTTGACATTTTATTATACTTTTGGGGACAAGGAAATAGAGGTGACCGCCCCTCCCCCTCCCAGACTTTCGATTTTTTTCCAAATTGTGCAACCATTATGCAACTTGCTGCAATATATCTGCTCAAGAATAGGTCCACCGAAAAGAAAAATCCGTTAAAAATGCGAATATTAGACTTCCAAGTAGTCCTACATACTTCATAATTGGGCAGACTGCACCTCGTATGGGTCAAATACGCGGTTATGATTATGAGGCGGTTATGATTATGACGTCATAAAAGCAAAAAAAATTGCGTGCCTTAGGCGCGCTCATCAACCCCCTGGAGGCCGTTGTGAATACAACTTAATGCTATGTAGCCGCCAATAGCAAAAAGCTGTTCACTGTTCATCTTACCTTTGCATTAAGAGTGTTTTCCTTGAATAATTTCATTCCTTCTGCTGTCAGTTTGCAACCCCAAGCCTTGAACACCTTTACTTGACATTGGGTAACAACTAATCCAACTACAGCTAAACCAGCAGGTCCAAGATCAATATTGCGACTGACATCTAGTTCATCCAACTGAAATAAATAAGAAATGTAAGACTATTTACCATGGTGAAAATGTAAAGAAAACAATTGTAATCTCTAGCAAAAGCAAAAACCCAAAAAATTTGAAAAAAGGTCAATATATCAGACAATATATAAAAAGTAAGGCTCATCACTGCGGTTCCAAATATGGGGAAGAGCAGGGATCAGTGATATTATCTATGATTATTCTGTATACCAGGAAGTGTTCACTATTAGCGCATTTATTGGGACAGTTTTTTTAGAGACTGCGAAATCGCACTTTTTTCGATTCTGAGGGGCAAAAATTCGAAGTTGACAAATATTTTCGTGGGAATATGAAGTTGACAAATAAGTAAGTTGACAAATAAGTTGGGTACTAGTACTTTTACCGACTTGACGATGTCCTGGCGATTTTCCGATTGCAACATTATGTGTACCAGACGTTAGATAAGATAATATTAGCGATTAATACTTTTCCCGACGCCCCGTTTTCGAAAATACAAAGTTATATTTCAAAAGATGAATTTTGGGACATTTAAAATAAATAAAACATTAATTATGGTTAATTTATATCAAATTTTAATTTTCATGACACCCTGTTTCGAAAATACAAAGTTATATCACGAAAGATCGTTATGTTACATTTAAAATAAAACAATTTCGCGATTAATTTAGATGAAATTTTACTTTTTACGAGACGCCGTTTCTGAAAATACAAAGTTATATCACAAAAAAAAAAATGCGTTTTGTTCCCCCTATTTTGCAATGTGCACTCCCAATAAAATACTCATTTTCCAGAATTCAAGTCGCTGTTGAATCCGTTCCTATCGTTCAAGCTCGACACATGTTTAGTCGAGTGTCTGGCCGTATTTTTGTCGACGATAAATTAAAAAGTTGATACACATGGTTTGTATAACGATGATGACTGAAAATTAAGATTTTGCAGTAGAAAAGAATTTGTCTGAAAGTGTTATTTTACGAGTCTTGCCCGCAGAAAATAAACACCCTGACATGCTTGATTATAATTGATGGTTGTTAGATTTATTTTACACCATTAATTAACGCGCCCTACCAAGTTCAGCCACATAAAATGAAGTTGCCTCAGTATGGACTGTGTGTTTTTGGCGCTATCACATTATTGATAATTTAATGTTTTTTCATACCTATTTTTTGTATTTCACAACTTAGTATCAAAGGGTATAATGCGCTATTTATGCGTATCTCGTTCGACATTAATTTTAAGGATTTCAGCGTTTCATGAAATCAAATAAAAATTATTTATCAAATGGATCGATATTTCGCGACACATTCCAAATTATTTGGGAACCACTATCATATCATCATTTACTTTTTATATTCATGTTTTTCGATAATCATCCTATTAGTTCCTAATAATGTAATTGTAATATATGGAAAAGTCGCACTCGGCCATGAGATGCGAATATTTTATACTAGGTTTGCAGCATTAGAGAGAGTGCTATTTATAAATGCTGAAAGTACCTGGTATTCATTACTAAAAAATTTGTCACTATATCAGTGGTTCTCAACCCGGTGCCATCTGATCTACCCCGTAACTAATGTGGATTCCAGCTTGCGTGTTTCAATCATTGTCTATAAGATGGAAGGAGTAACACAAATGTGAAAGATAGTCTTTGCTGTTCACGCGAATTAGCACCCATTGATTGCACGAAAGTTTATTTCGCTACAGATGTGCTTGGCAGGTGTCATTTCGTTTCTGATGAATTTGCTCGTTTTAAACAAGGATTTAAACGAAACTCTGTTAACGGAAAGACTCCTATTTAATTTGCAATATTAACGGAAGGAGCGCTCCTTCGAGTATCTATGTTGTTTAAAGGAAGTAAAAATAAAAGCTAGGGCACCTTACTTTTAAAGTGCACTTTGGCACTTTTATTTTCGACTGCGAAGCACTTTCGCATTCATAATTCGCTTAGAGTTAACACTGGTACCAGGGTGGCGATGGAAAACAAAGTGAACTTGGTCAGGGTGCAGATGTGGTTTTGAAATGGACAGAAATCTTACTAAATAATTGAAATTTTAAGCTTTTTGGCAACCTTTTTACGAGCGTTCCTTAGAAAGAAAAACTGATGGATGCTGGAATAAATTAAGTAGGTACGGTGCGAAAACCGACTTGGAAACATGAAGATGGCAGATGAGAAGGACTTGAAGAAAAAAAGTGCTTATGATTATATAGTTGAAGTTTTTTATTTTTCGTTCTAGATACCATCAATTGTTACGTCATTATCACATTTTAAGCACGAGTATATCATAACAATTCAATTCTACTGGTATAGACTCGTTGTGGGCACTCCCCTGCCCCGCCCGCAAATATCTTTGTTTTTAATTTTGACTCCCTGTCAATCAACTTTGGGAACCACTGTGTTAAACTATTACATTGAGTGATGTGCGAAGGATTTTGTGCTTCTGTGGCGCCATAATTTTTACGTATTTAAGACATTGGAAAATAGTATTCGATTGATATTTTTCTTCATATCTTTCTAAATTATTATATAATATCTGTGTAGCGAAAGCAGCCAAGTTATTAGTTTGGCTGATGAATAACTTTCATTTAGGTGATACCAGAAAATGGCCGATATTGTAGATACATATCTAGTAGTTACCAATACACAAATCTCCCAAGTCCCAAGTTGAATCTTGAACAAAACGGGAAGTTAATGGGCCACAAAACGGAAAGTTAATGGGCCACAAAACTGAAAGTTAATGGACCACAAAACTGAAAGTAAATGGGCCACAAAACTGAAAGTTAATGGGACACAAAACTGAAAGTTAATCGGCCACAAAACTGAAAAGTTAATGGACCACAAAACTGAAAGTTAATGGGACACAAAACTGAAAGTTAATGGGACACAAAACTGAAAGTTAATCGGCCACAAAACTGAAAAGTTAATGGACCACAAAACTGAAAGTTAATGGGACACAAAACTGAAAGTTAATCGGCCACAAAACTGAAAAGTTAATGGACCACAAAACGGAAAGTTAATGGGCCACAAAACTGAAAGTTAATGGGACACAAAACGGAAAGTTAATGGGCCACAAAACGGAAAGTTAATGGGCCACAAAACTGAAAGTTAATGGGACACAAAACGGAAAGTTAATGGGCCACAAAACTGAAAGTTAATGGGACACAAAACGGAAAGTTAATGGGCCACAAAACGGGAAGTTAATGGGCCACGAAACTGAAAGTTAATGGACCACAAAACGGGAAGTTAATGGGCCACAAAACGGAAAGTTAATGGGCCACAAAACTGAAAGTTAATGGACCACAAAACTGAAAGTAAATGGGCCACAAAACTGAAAGTTAATGGGACACAAAACTGAAAGTTAATCGGCCACAAAACTGAAAAGATAATGGACCACAAAACTGAAAGTTAATGGGACACAAAACTGAAAGTTAATCGGCCACAAAACTGAAAAGTTAATGGACCACAAAACGGAAAGTTAATGGGCCACAAAACTGAAAGTTAATGGGACACAAAACGGAAAGTTAATGGGCCACAAAACGGAAAGTTAATGGGCCACAAAACTGAAAGTTAATGGGACACAAAACGGAAAGTTAATGGGCCACAAAACTGAAAGTTAATGGGACACAAAACGGAAAGTTAATGGGCCACAAAACGGGAAGTTAATGGGCCACGAAACTGAAAGTTAATGGGACACAAAACGGAAAGTTAATGGGCCACAAAACGGAAAGTTAATGGGCCACAAAACTGAAAGTTAATGGGACACAAAACGGAAAGTTAATGGGCCACAAAACTGAAAGTTAATGGGCCACAAAACGGGAAGTTAATGGGCCACAAAACTGAAAATTATCGGGCCACAAAACTGAAAGTTAATGGGCCACAAAACTGAAAGTTGATGGGCCAAAAAACGGAAAGTTAATGGGCCAAAAAACTATACTGCATACTACGACCGCTGGATGTACTGCCCTGACAACTCCAATTTTTGTAGATTTTTCAATTTATAATTACGCATTTATGCTGGTTACTTTTTACTCTCTAAGGTTTCAACTCACCTTTGCATTGCCAGTGTTTTCCTTGAATGCTTTCATTCCTTCTGCTGTCAGATTGCAATCCCAAGCCTTGAATACCTTCACCTGACATTGTGTAACAACTAATCCAACTTCAGCCCAACCAGCAGGTTCAAGATCCTCATTGTAACTGACATCTAGTTCATCCAACTGAAATAAATAAGAACTTTAAGAATATTTAACATGGTAAGAATGTCAACGAAGCAATTGATTAACCAGTAATAAAGAATCTCAAGCAAAACAGCTGCATGAGAAAATGAATGAAGTGATCTAAATAGATTTCCACTAAAGCAGGAAGATAAAACTTGCACACTCAAATGACTTCAATAAAAGAAGAAATTGCTTTACTGCCAGAGATTCTCCAATAAGAATTCATTTTATAGTCTTGTTTGAAGCTGAACCAATCCGTATGCGATGATTACCTAGTTGGTTTTCTGCAACGCTAGCTATGGGGCGGTCATGGCTCAGAGTCAACAAGGCATATACCGCAAACATGTTTCCACCAAGCAAAAAATAAATTCCAACCCATTATACCAAAAGGCCGTCCACATACAAAATCCTATAAACAAAAATAAAAAAGTTCAAAATATAGGATTTGGTGGCTATGCTGGCGTATATTGAAGCAAAACAGAAGCACCACAAAAAAGTCAGACAAACTGATGCGTCACAATCTGAATGGTGTATTTGCTGTTGGGGAATTCCCTTCATGGTTTCGGCAGCCTAGCAACGTAGCAAGCTAGCCTAGCGAGATATCCGCAGCTTACAGCCTAGGAAATTGTAGCAGTTTTATTTGATTCTCACTCTGATTTGTATGACAAGCCTGATAGTGAATCTGTCGATGGCCAACTTATCAGTGAAGAATACCATTTCAAATTAGGTCTAATTAAGCTTGCTGTTAGCAACCAGATTTTGTTTATTACAGCGCTAGCCTATATTAAACTGCCTAAAACTTTTAAACATTACTTCATGTCGTCATTAAATTGCTACTATGCTTTGCAAAATTTTATAGAATAAATTTATTAAAATATTTGGCATTTTATTATACTTTTTGAGACAAGAAAATGGAGGCAACCGGCCCTCCCCTCCCAGACTTTCGATTTTTTTCCAAATTGTACAACCATTATACAACTTGCTGCAATATATCTGCTCAAGAATAGGTCCACCAAAGGAAAAAAATACGTTTAAAATGCGAATATTATACTTTCAAGTAGTCATACATACTTCATAATTGGGCAGACTGCACCTCGCATGGGTCAAATACACGGTTATTATGAGTCGACGTCATAAAAGCAAAAATTAAATTGCGTGCCTTAAGCGCGCTCATCAACCCTCTGGGGGCCGTTTTGAATACAAATTAATGCTATGTGGCCGCCAATAGCAAAAAGGTTGTGCGCCCCTGCCTTATTCTAACTAATTTTTTTAAACCTTCTGGATCAGATCAAAAAGGGAATATTAGCCCTCATTTTCATTCAAATGGCCGATATTGCAGATACCGATAAAGTGGCCGATACATCTCTCGTAGGTACCAATACACAAATCTTCAAGTCGAGTCTTGAATGAAAGCAATTGGAATCAAATTTCAAATGTGCCAGGCAGGGATGGCCAATTCCGAATAGTTCACTATTTCGAATACATTCGAAATTATTTTTTTCGAATATGAAATTTCGAATATCTCGAAATTAAAATGGGCAATTATAAGCTTTACTGGGCAGCAGGAAGATATTGCAAGCTATATACCCATTGCATCCTGTCAGGCTATCAGTATTCAATACATTTTCCACAGGTCTAGACGACTTTTCAACAAAAGTTTAGTCCGCGCCGTTTTGACATCCTTCGAGTACCCAACCAAGTCAACTGATGACAGGCAAGCCAAGTTCCCACCTATCTAGTTCAGTTTACCTGTCATTTTTTGCTTTTCATAACTATCATAATAACCACATATTGAGAAACACAAGGTTTATTAACAAGACACATATTTTAACATGACAGCAGTGAGAGAAATGCAGCACAGTGAAAAAAAAATCTAAATACACATACACTAGTGTATTACATACAGTATAACACAGGATTGTATGAAGTAAAAATGAAAAGAAACAAGAACAGCAAAATCAGTATAAAAAGTATTCTCAGATATTAATGAATAAATGTTACATTTTGTCCATATTGCAGTGCAGAAAGTTAAGGTGCTCAACATGTTCGCCAGTCAATCGAGATCTTAAGCCCGCAGATGTTAATCCAGCACTGGAAAATGATCGCTCTGCGGGTGCAGATGTGGCTGGGGTAATCATGTATTTCTTCACACACTTGTATAGCAGAGGCGCATTAGCTTTATTTGCATTCCACCATGTTATGGTATCGGTCTCGGGGCACTTTTGTTTGTTGTACCACTCCATCTCTAAGGTACATCCACCCTGCTCATCTTCGCTGCTATGAGGTGAGTCACTGTCTCTTGGTTTTCCATATGCCAATATTGTGTCTAGGTTTGATAATGCTGAAGTGGAGGTTGAGGCTATATCGGATTGTTGACATTCAACAATTGGCCGGGCAGCCCGAGCTTCTCCCATGTCTTCTATTATCGCATTTCTGACCATAACTTTATTTTGGTGGGTAAAATATTTTCCCTTGTGATGGGGATCCATAAGTGTGGACTTGTGAAAAAGATTTGGTGTTTCGGTATTAAAATTCAGCACTTCGGCAAATCTTGTTTGGAGAGACGTATGCATGGATAGTTTGAAATTCTTCTCAAAAATGTCATCGGCAGCATCTATTTCGCTGTATTTCCCACATAAGCCTTTTACAACCGGATACACAGATGATATAGAAATGTACTTTTCTCCCTGGAGATATTTTGTTGATGTCTTCAATGGCTCAAGGAGGCCAATGAGTTTTTGTATAACGATCCAATGTCCATCCCGCAACTCTAGTATTGCTGCTCTCGTTCTTGGCAGGCTGCTGAGATACTGCCGTATTTTCCACTGGTGAGAACATAGTCTTTCCAACATGTCATGGGTGGAGTCCCATCTAGTTTGGCAGTCGATGATGAGGTCAAAATTTTGTGGTTCATTTTCAGTCCTTGTGCTTTGATGCAATTGCCTTATTTCAGACATTGCCTTGGTGGACTGTTTCACGTGTTGAACAAGCCTTCGTGCTGCACCTATCGCACGTTTTATTGGATCATTTTTTAGGCAGTCATGCACGCATAGCTGCAAAGTGTGTGCAACACAGCGAATGTGTTGCCAGTTGTAGGATGCAGAACATAAGCGCATTGCAGCAACTATATTTGCACCATTGTCCGTGACAACTGAAACAATTCGCTCCGGAGGTATTTCGTAATCTGCAAGCAGCAAGTCAACCCACAGGGCGATATTTTCTGCAGTATGCGATTCAGTGACTTGCTTAGTTGCAACAACTCTGCTTTGTATGGTATCATTTACCAAAAAGTGGGCTGTCACTCCGAAATAGCAGTCCATTCTGCAGCTCGACCATAAATCTGCAGTCAATGAAATATTGTCTGCTGCTGCCAATTCATTCTTCACTTTCACTTTTAGGATGCAGTAATTGTCCTCAATATTCCTGGTAAAAGACTGACGGCTAGGAACAGTGTAACCAGGTTCCAAGAAGTTGATTAATTTTACAAAATTTCGTCCTTGTACGAGATTTATTGGTCGCATGTCGCCAGTTATTACATTCGTTATTAGACTGGTGATTTTTGCAGCCCTGTGCTGATTCATCAGCGGCCTGCTGTAGTCCGAAATCATCCTCTGTGTCGTTTTAGTTTTTGCAGCGGACTGAGCAGATGGACCAACAGTGCTGGAGGTTGCTTGCGCATATCCTGAGCTTGTCAAATGAGAAGGATGTTTCGCCTTTAGGTGGGCTGACAGATTGGTGGTTGTTCCATGAAAGCTGAGTTTTTCTTTACATAAGCAGCAAATCACTGTCTTTTTATTTTCATGATCTGGAGCAGATGGTGATGTGAAAAATGACCACACTTCCGACGATTTTCTACGACCTCTACGCATGTTTTTTAAGAATTCGATTTATCTGTATAGTTTATGCAATAAGCTATAATGAAAAGTATATATATGCGTTAATTGTAAACTTGTACCTAAGGAGTTTTATTTAGCTTGATATGACATGATTGGACCTGCGCTAAGCTCGGAAAAACTTGGAAGCAGGGCAGCAGGCATACTTTTATTCTCGGATTCTCCTGTCCTGTGCTGGCTATGACAGATTTATTGAATCTAAAGTATGCCAATGCGCTCGCGTGCAAAACCGCTTTTGAGCGAGAGTTACAAATAAAAAAAGATTGATGCCCGCGCAATTTTAATCAACCTATCAGAGAAACGAGATAGCAAGCGCGAGAAATAAGCGAGAGTGTTGCAAGAAAAAAGAGATGCGCGCGCCGCTTTAACCAGCCAATCAGAGAAACGAGATAGAAAGCGCGAGAAACAAGCGAGAGCATTGCGAAAAAAGAAGATGCGCACACGACTTTAACCAACCAATCAGAGTAACGAGATAGCAAGCGTGCCAGAGAGTGCTGCAACGACAAACCAATCAAGCCGCTGGTTCGTTTCACCGTCAAAACAACACGTGATCTAACAAAGCGTGATCTAACTAAGCAAATCGTTTGTTTCCTGCGGAAAGTCCTGTCATGGCCGAAAATGGGCATTATTCGAAATTATTCGAAAATGGACTGAAAAGATATTCGAATACCTTGATATTCGAATATTTTCGAATATTCGATTCGTTTTGGACAACCCTGGTGCCAGGTCCACCAATCAAAGCATTGAAACCAAATCCATTTGAGTCCCCAGTAGGTCATGATTTAACCGATGGACTCGTGCATACTACAATCGCTGGATGTACAGAGCCTTGTTCTGAGCAAACAGATTGAGATTTGAAAATGTATATCCCCCCCCCCCCACATCCAGTTCTTTCATGGATTTTTCAATTTTAATTATGCCTGACATTGCAAAACATCCAACTTCAGCTAAACCAGCAGTGCCAAGATATTTGTTGCCACTGACAACCAGCTCATTCAACTGCAATGAATGAAAACTTCAAGATTATTTAACATATTGGAAATGCGAACACAACAATTGAAATCTCCAGCAAAAGCAAAAACCAAAAAAATTAGAAAAAAGGTCAATGTATCAGACAATATATAGAGAGTAAGCCTTATCCCTGGGGTTCAAAATATGGGGAAGAGCAGGGATCCGTGGTATTTTCAATGATAATTCTGTGTACCAGGGTGGCGATGGAAATAAAAGTGAACTTCGTCACGTTGCGAAATGGTTTTAAAATTGGTAGAAACCTCAACGGATAATTGTAATTATAAGCATTTTGGCAACCTTCTTAAGAGCGTTCCTTCGAAAGGAAAACCATTGAAGAGTTCGGTAAAATATCCGCAATGACTCGATATGATAGCATGGCAGTAACTCTTTTATTGTCGCATATTGAAGTGGAACCCTTCGGTATCATCAGAAGATGGCAAATAAAAATAAATACTTGGATAGTTGGATGTACCAATGCCTGCAATTACTAAGGAAATTTTTTTTGTTTGCTTTAATTAAAAATGTTCAATAAACGGAAGTAAAATTTTAATAATGAGAATTTTAGCCAGACCTTATCGTGTGTTGGGTTTTGCGGGGTTGTCATAAAGATCCATTGGTTGCCAAACCGCAGCCTGCGGGCCAATTACAGCCCACGTAAAATATAATATGGCCCGCCGAACTTGATTGTAATGTTCAACACTATGTTTTTTTTTTCGTTCTAGATCAATTGTTACGTCATTCTTACATTTTAAGCACGTGTATATCATAACAGTTCAATTCTACTGATATAGACTCAATGCAGGCACTCCCCTGCCCCGCCCCCAAATATCTTTCCGCTCCTACTTTTGCTTCTCTTTTATAGAATAAATTCATTAAAATATTTGACATTTTATTATACTTTTGGGGACAAGAAAATGGGGGTGACTGCCCCTCCCCCTCCCCAACTTTCGATTTTTTTCCAAATTGTGCAACCATTATGCAACTTGCTGCAATATATCTGCTCAAGAATAGGTCCACCAAAGGAGAAAAATCCGTTTAAAATGCGAATATTATACTTCCAAGTAGTCATACTAGTATTAGCCCTCATTTCGCTGATACCGATAAAATGGCCGATATTGCAGATACTGATACATCTCTAGTAGGTACCAATACACAAATCTCCAAGTCGAGTCTTGAATGAAAGCAATTGAAATCAAATTTTAACTGTGCCAGGTCAACCAATTAAAGCATTGAAACCAAGTTCATTTGAGTCCCCAGTAGGTCATGATTCAACCGATGGACTCGTGCATTCTACAATCACTGAATATACAGAGCCTTGTTCTGGGCGAACAGATAGAAATTTGAAAATGTATATACCGTATTTAATCGTTTTGGGCCCATATTTTTTTCAACCAACTTACTAACCGGGCCCTTATTCAAGCACGGGCGCTTGTTATTTTCGATCGTTACAATAATTGATATATTGTTATTTCCAGTTCTCAAGTATGATATAAACGAGAATAACGAAAATTTTGACTTTTTCCACGCACCGCAGGTACAAATCCACAAAGAAAGAAAATTTTTGCCACGCCGAGTTTGAGAACCATGGTGTTACGTAATCAGGCGCGCAGCCAGGACTTTCGAAAGGGAGGGGTTTCAAAATCAGAAATTCCAATCACCGTGTGTAACAGTCATGACGATTACGTGCTCGTTAAAAGAGCCGCCTTTTCAGCGTATAAAGATTTTTCTGTTTCCTAAATTATTCAATCCATGACAACTACGAAATTCTGAAATGACCTTATATATTAATTTAATTGCGTCCAACGTAACTAGCGGTCGCGACTTCTTACGTCAAAATAAAAACATTATTTCTCTAAAATACCACGACGATCTGTGGACATGAAAATATGAGATAAGCTGCTTGATGTATTTAATTTTGATACATATTTTTGCAATCTTGCGAACTCGTTATAGCCCATCGAAAAATCTTAATATCTGTTATAAAATCCGTATAGTACAATTTTACTTCATACAATGAAAATACATATAAAGTAGGTTATATCAGTAAATCAAAAATACATATTCACCAGCCTTTACCGCCTCGAAATCCACGTCAAACAGTCGCTGCGGTAACACCACTTGTTAAAAGAGCCGACTTTTTCGACGAAAAATGAATTTTCTGTTGTGCAAACTAATCAACCCATGACGGGAAATGTCTTGCTTTATTAAATTAATTGTCATTAATTTAAACTGTTGTTGCGTCGATAAAACAAGAGCCACTCTAAAACACCACGGCATTCCGCGGACATAAAAATGTGTGGTAAACTGCCCGATTATATATTGTTTTGATCCGTATTTTTGCTTTTTTACAAATTCCACAAATTTGAGATGTAGCCTACTTGTAACACTGACTCCTTTCAATCGCAATGCTGCCACTCTGATTATTTTTAAGGATAAAACGTTCCGAAAAATCCGTAATTCTGCTTTAAAATCTCACGGATAATATTTATTTTAGTACAATAAATTTTGTTCGAATGTACTTCATAGATTAACTATCTTATACATCATCATAAACCGGCAAAAGTCGCGTTCTCAACCTTGTTTAATGTTAACACGAACATTTTCAAATATTCGACAACAAGCAATTTTAGTAAAAGTAATGGATAACAATGTAAATCCTGCTCACAATCTACCGTGTTTCGATTCTAGTGACGATAAGTTCTAAACGCGGAGCGAACATAATGTGTGCCGTAGGCAGAAGAAATTTTGCGATTTTCAATGCTTAGAAAAGCGTTTTTAGACTGTCGCGGGCGTCAACAACACTTGTTTACGGTTTTATTTTCAGTATTTTATATTGCCGCTTTTCAATAAAACAATTTAGGTCGTGGATTTATTCATTAATTTGTCTTTGAATCTCGCCGCCGATGAACGTATAATAAGTCTCGCCGGATGCACAATTCCGTCAATTCCATGGGAGTAACAAAATAAAATAAATGTCATCGTTATCGTGGTACAAATCTGTGGAAAATTTGTGATTTAGAGACAATAAACGTCAGCGTAAAGGCGTTAACGGCCTAAATAACACGTCACAACGATGAAAACATTCGGAGATTTTAGCAAAAGGCAATCGTACGCGTTATCGGCGACTTTTTCAATTTTCAAAAAAAAATTGAAAATTCGAAAGCGTGTTGACAAAAGCGCTTCCTATTTCCTATTGTTCTCTACCACTGAAAAATCAGCTTTTACATCGGGCGGGTATTCCAGCACCGGTCCTTATTTATGTTCTGATCACACGGGCAACCAGTGATTTCCCTACACCCCCCCTATAGGGGGTGAACACCCCCCTGAAATTTCAAACACCCCCCTAATTTTGAGGTGCGATTCCACACTTTATTTCCTAACTCAAGTATAATTGTATTCAAATATAACGATTAACGACTATGGCATATTTATCAGTGAGGATGAGGGGTTCTAAACCGCAGTCGGCGGGCCAATTACGGCCGGCGTGACGATTTAAAATGGCCCGCCGAACTTGAGTGAAATAGTTTAACGGGCTAACCCTTCATGTAGCACTTTTGAGTTTTAGATACCGTCTATTGTTACATCATTATCACAGTTTAAGCACGTTTATTTCGTAACAATTGAATTATACCGGTATCTTATGCATACGTATGGGTATTAGGATTACACACTTCAGTATTTTAGATATTAGCTGTATTTAAGAAAGCTTAAAGATGTCACAAAACGAAAACTAGGCACTGAAAACAGACGATTTTTAGATGAATGACAGCGTTTTTATTTCTTTATTGAAAAGAATCAAACTTCAGCGATTTGTCTTCTTACCAACAAAATATTTCAGTTCTGAAGGAATACAACATTATGCGACATTATGATCAGTTGACGAGCGTATTTCAAAATTTAATTCATACAAAAGTCAAACGAACATGTTCAAAAAAATGTGAAATGTGTAACAAAACAAGCCATAAGTAGCCATTCATACAATGCCATATGAGCAAGTAACTTCATTAGTCACTATCAGTTGCAAATTACTTGTTGAAACGTAGTAGTATATATTTACGGTTGAAAGCCGTGCTTGTTAACTATTTCCCGGGAATTCTATCAGCTAAATATTATAATTATTGATTTCATTACATAACAAACTGCGATGCTAGGTGTATCTAAAATCAAGCTTAGAGCCTATTTTGGTGCCCATTTCTCAAAATTTTCTCAGGGCGCTTAAGCGCGCCCTGAACCCCAGCCGTGTCGTCCCGCACTTTTCCTCGCTCCCCTTTTCTGGCTCTACAATTTTATTCTGCTGTGGATTTGGGCTTGCATCAATCAACTTGGGGGGCCCTTCATGTACATCGTTTCTTAAATACATACCATTTTTTCAAGAATACAAATAGCCTAGTTTTATCTCTAATAGCAAATTATTTACCACCCCCCTAAATTTCGAAATACCCCCCTAAAATAAAAAGCTGGGGAACATACTCGGGCTATTCAAACGGGCTTTTAATCAAGATCGGGCGGTAAAACGAGCATTTGAGGTACCCTCCCCCCACTCCCACAATCTCTTTATGAGCCTTTTATAATTATGCATTTACAATTTTCACTGTTCATCTCACCTTCGCATTGCCAGTGTTTTCCTTGAATGCTTTCATTCCTTCTGCTGTCAGATTGCATTTCCAAGCCTTGAATACCTTCACCTGACATTGTGTAACAA